CGATTAAACTATGAAATTACTGTTTTTTGCTTTGTGGCTGGTGATGTTTTTACTTGATATTAGCAAAGTATTTGGTGCCTACATCCTGTCATAGTTTCAAACATTACACCAGTCTTGTCACTATACAATTGTTTCATAATTAAGAAAAAAACTCCAAAGAGGTTATGTGCCATTAAATATCTTCTGATGTGTGGTGACTACATGAATTAATGAGCTCCAAAAGTAATATCATTAACAGCTTTGCTCAGATCTTGCAAACCAACAACATCTCATGTTAGTCTGTTTTTGCTTCCTATTTTCTCTCACTGGCCAGGTATGTAAACCATACCCGGAATTTAATATGGCTACCGCCCACACTTAAAAACACTACACACATACACACACACCATAAACAGAAAAATTCACAAGACGATTAAGAGCAAATTCTACAAGGTCTTATTTTCAGGTCTTGCAAACTAAGAGCTGTGACTTCCTTTATTGGCACAATCTTTCATGTTAGGACTTCCTCTCTTCCCATTGCTCCCCCTTTTTCAGCAATATTGTATTTTCTGATCAGTTCTCTATTCTCATTACATGTGCATGGTAGAATAACCTAGTTGACTCATTTTTGAGATTCAGGCTTGACTTGATTGACCACCCACTTTTCTGCCTTCCTAGCTGTCTGTGGTGTCTGTAAAGCTTTCCTCCAACACAACATTTCAAGTGAGTTCATTTTTATCCCTGACTGTTGTCACTGTCTTTCTCCCACATAGTATATATGATTCTGACCTTGATTTTCAGTGACAACTTTTGGTAACTCTAGCTCTCCTTAAATATATATATATATTTCAAAAGGCAAGGGAAAATGTGCACACAAGACTTTAGTAGAGCTTTTATGAATGATTCTGACCTTGATTTTCAGTGACAACTTTTGGTAACTCTAGCTCTCCTTAAATATATATATATATTTCAAAAGGCAAGGGAAAATGTGCACACAAGATTTTAGTAGACCTTTTAGCCTGATACAGCTTTCCTTTTTCAGGTTAGCCGTTCGTAAGTTGAGACCCCACTGTATAGCTTTCCTTTTTCAGGTTCCCTACCACAAGGAATGGGTTTGGAAACTGGAAGTTTTCTTTCTAGTCTGCGTTCTGCAGAGTAGCCATGGCGATATTAGTTTACCTAAGTGGTTAAAGGGTATGTATTAAAGATGGGGGTATGCATATTTGTGTACGATAAGAATATCCCCCCAAAGGTGCAGATAATGAGGGTCTGGCCCCCTGGGGCCAGACTGATCACTCACAATTTCGCTGCTCCACGAGCTCCACAGAGCCTTCCTATCTCTCTGTTGCTGGTGATGGATTAGCCACTCTGCAACATGGCAGAGAGGCTCGTCATCCCACCTTCCGCCAGGAGTCGCTAATTTATGGAGCAATAGGAAGGTTCTGTGGAGTTCACGGCAGCAGTGAAATTGTGAGTGGTTGGTCCAGCCCCAGGGGGCCGTACCCTTGTTATCTGCACCTGTGGAGAAATATTCGTATACGAATATGAATACTCCCATCTCTAGTATGTATGTTTCTCCATTGTATGTGTTGCACTTACTCCCACCTTTGCTTCAGCATTTAATTAAGTCCAAAAGAGCCTTTCAAAATATTTTGGCATAGAGGGACTACAGCCACATTGCAGCTGTTCTTCCTTCTTTCTTCTCCTAGTAATCACAATACAGATCATGTGCTCATCTGCTGGAATGCTCTAGCACTGGGTAATTCTACATGAGGGAAGTTTCTGTTGAAATTAGTTTGTAGTATATGCATACTTGACATGAGGGAAGTTTCTGTTGAAATTAGTTCGTAGTGTATGCATACTTGAAGTTCATTAAAAAAGTCAGGAAATTCAAATTTCCCCCAAATCCTCTGATTTACAAATGTTCCATTTTAAAAAGCCAGGAAATTCAGTTTCCCCCCAAATCCTCTGATTTACAAATTTGGGGTATTAGGTATACACAACTCAAAATGTGAGGAACTAGCCTGATATTGCTGCACAATATTGTACATGCACAGCCAGCAGGAAAAGGGAGGTGGCATTCTGAATTGTAGAAAAACTGCCATTCACAAAGTGTCTCCAAGCAAGGGAAAATTCACATAGCTGACTCCTTTTTCAATCAGTTAACCAATTCTCACCCAAACACAAAGGAATAGTTGGGGCTGCTTTTCAACAAGTGTGATTGGTAGTGAGCACAAGAAGGAATTCTGTAGACTATCTTGTCTGCTGCCTTTGGTGTTGCCAACATTCAGGTTTCCTTTGATATGTAAAGCTTGGCATCCTTTTTCCTGCTGGCAATGTGGGTCTCATATCATGAGCAATATGGGGGAATTTCCTATTTTTTTGAGTGATGGGTAAATAAGCACAATACCTCACATTCATAAACTGGATGGTGTTGGAAGAATGGAATATCCAGTCTGAAGACTGGTTCCTCTTGTCCTTTGGGGATGCAATTGCCTGTGGCTCATGCCCTTGGTCAGTGGAGAAGTCTACATTATAACTTTGCTCATTTCTGCAGTTTCAAAGGAGGAGATTGCAGATATCATTTTTTTTTCCTGATAGAAGCTAGGTTAGGGTCATCTTTTAAGCATCATAGGTCACAAAAAAATCGACAACATGGATTTTATTTTATTTTATTTTGCTATTACATTCTGTGAGACAAAAAATAAAAATAATCCTAATAGCAAAATACAACAGATTTGGGGGCAGGGGGAAGAACTGTCTCAACTTTTTGTCTGTTCTAAAGAAATGAAAAAACAACAAGTAACGAGTGGCTAAAACTCCAGGAAATGGTTTACAGTGTTCCCTGTCTTGTAGGTTTAAAGTTGAATTCTAAAACAAAGCATGATTCTGGGAAACTGGAATGACCTAAATGAATGCAGGTTAGGGAGACTTGGAAAATGTATCATAAATAACTTTGGCAATAGAAACAGTTCCTCTCAAATATTGTCAGATTAACTGGCAGATTGGTAATGGAATGTTACTTACTATATACTGTATTAGCTGGCTGGCTGGCTGGCTCATATGGGGCAGCTAGCTGCAGAGCCAAAAGCAATGAGTTATATTCCCTGCTGTGTAGGATAAGAGCCAGCTGTATCATTCCATAGTGCCCTTAGAAGAAGGGAGTGGTAAACCACTTCTGAGCTTGTTGTGCCCAGAAAATCCTTAGTGTAGATGTATGTGTATTAGATCAACCCTGTGAGTCTCTCACAGAAGCATTTGCTGAGTATGGATATTGTTGGTACTAAATGGCTTGTCACAAACAATAAAGATGGTAAGACACCAATGTTCTGCCTAGTATTTTTTTCTACCTGTAGTGCGATTTTTATTTGCCTTAACTAGTTCTACTTATTAAACAGTTTGGTGCAAAAATGTGAGAATTTTCAAATGGATTTTTGAAAAAGAAATCATAAAATATCATAGGTTATATTTAAAAGCATGTCTAGCTGGCAACTGCCCAGAAACAGATTGTGGCTTGAATTCAGAATTCCCATAAGTTTGTGGAAGAAACACTCTGGCTGAAATCATATTGCACCTGGCATAAATTTACACCTGTGGACTTTCACAGGGAGTTATTATTTATTTATTTATTTATTTATTTATTTATTTATTTATTTATTTATTTATTTATTCAATTTGTATGCCGCCCACACTACCCAGAGGTAGACACAGTTACTCTACCACTATATTTTTAGTACCATGTTTCCCCCCAAATGACAGGGTCTTATAGTAATTTTTGCTCCAAAAATGCATTAGGGCTTATTTTCAAGGGATGTTTTATTTTTTTCATGTACAACAATCTACAGTACATTTATTCAAATGCAGTCATGTCATCTTCTTCTGG